CTTTTACTGCATTTGTAGTCCACCAGGTTAACTCCAGAGCGTCGTAAACGGCCTCAGCAAGCAGCTCTGATTCGAAAGTCGTAGCGAGGCTAGAACCGTATATTCAAAACTGGCTGATGTTAACGAATTATATTCCCATACTCAACAGAAAAATGGCTTATCTGATCAAGCTATGGTTGCAAATATCCCTAGTTTTGTGGCAGAGTTGTCCATTGTATGGAAATACTGTATCCAACTTCATTGTGCATCTCCGTGATGCACAGGGGTGTTTGAACTTCAACACAAATAGCAAGCCTTGTCATCCATTAGCTTATTAATTACTTGCTAGTTGTGTGATCTCAAGCCTACTTTATCTGTTTCAGATGATGAAGACACAGATCCAAAGCTGCTGAAGAAAAATGTCTCGATAAAGGAAAATACGCCGTTTACCAGAGACTACAAGATTGGCGAATATCTTGGCAGGTAAGTGCGACATTTTTTAATGCGCGAATTGTGCTGATTTACGGTGCACGCAAACCAAATTTCGAAGAACCTTCATTGAGTTGGTTCAGTAGTTTTTAGTGATTCGTGTAGTTTAGTATATTGAACAGTCAAATACAATCACAATATAGCTGGGATTAATTTTGAATATATTTTGAATTGTTTCATTATGTTCAACTATGCCCAGAACATTGTAAGTAATGAAGAAAATTTATGGATTGTTGCTATATTTTAAATGCAAGACACGAGTTCCCAGTGTATTTCAAAGATACTACCTTTTGCTGTTAGTTCAGTGAATGCGATCCAAACATTCTATAGGAAAAATCGAATAAAACTCAGTTCATTAGGGACTAGTCTTGCCGTGGACGCCAGCAGGAAGCGAACTGACGGAGAGAAGTAACAAATCGTATTACGAGGTGATGTCCGGATAATGCTGTATCGTTTGCTGTGATTGGAATATGGGGAGAGTGGAATTTTTATCAAGGCGACTTGTGTGGTTATGTTAATTGGGAAAGCAATTATGCCCTCGTTCAAAAAAGGCGTATTGAAGAGGGTAATGAAGGCTGACTGCTGTGGCTGATGCGTTCCTTAGTACATTCGAAATGGTTTGAAACACGTTTGGCACTGCTAACAGTGACCGGTGAATGCGGTAGAATTGGAGGCAGACATATTTGTCTGATCAGCTACAACCCAAGATTTGTTAGGCCCTCCCCATTCGTGAGTCAGGCCTTGTTGACGAATGATCTAGATATGTGAGTTCTTATTCCAATTCCAGAGGTCAAACAGCCTTTGACACCGCGCCTGGATTCATCCACCGAAAACTCACTGGCTACCGAAAGAAATCCACGAAGTACTGGCTTAGATATACTTTCTACTGAGAAGAGACATACATGAAAACAATGTAGATTGTTATTAGGTCCATAGTCGCAAATCAGAACAGCGGAGCAATGATGGATGGCCCATACATAATTCCTCGTAACGAATGTGGATATATAAAGCTTATTTGTGCGAGAAAATAGATGATATTTTCTCCTTTTTGTGAATCTATCTTGTCCATCTTATCCTAAAGCTGAGTGTCACCAGATTTCGCAGTTTGATTAGCATCTATTCCCTAAACGTGCCACATGTGGAACACAAAGAAATGTTTGGTACGATCTGGTGTACATCAGTGGCTGCTTTTTTCTAGTTCAGCGATTTTTAAAACTTGGACGGGCAAAAACACAGGAAACTAGGAATCTGGAGAAAAATGTGCGGCCGTGCAGGTTGTCATCAGTAGACGATGAAGACAGGCGCTTACGGATGCTGTGTACAGTGCTGGTACTCTGAGAAGACAGCATGTGGTTCAAGGTGAGGGCCAAATGTTTGTCATGCTGCAGTTGGATGTTTTGTACTCATCCAAAGGTTGAGCACTGCAAATTAATCGACTGTGGCGTTCTGTGTCAAGGTTTTCTGCACTGATTATTCACAAACACGAATTCTGACCAAATTTCATTATGACAAGGATTTCTTTGGTACTACCCTGCGTATCACCTTTTAAAAACCAGAACAAGGGATGAGAAGGGAAACAAATCAAGTCGGTTGTGACAAAAGAGAACGTGGAATTTTACGAAGAAATACAGCCCAGCCAATCTGAAGCACAGTTGAATGATAGTGAACTAGAATGGAAACACAGTTATTGTGCAGATGTGGATGCAGGTGGGCCGGATAAAGAATGTGAATGATTTCGGTTGTATCAGAATTGATCGGTTTTTTACATCTTCGATAATGAGGAGAATTTAGTACTCACTGGAATCTGAAAGACGTACTAGTCCTAAAACGCACAAAAACGCCAGAAAGACAATCTGAAGTCACTGCGGAAGACTTAAAATGAAAAACGGACAAAGTTTGGTAGCAGACGTTGGAATGAGGATTCGTTCGCCAAAGCGAACGGAATTTGTGGATCTAAAACGCAGCGACCCGCAGTCACGACAGATAAAAATAACGAAAATCGGCAAACCTGCTTCAATTTTGGTAGCCTGAAAACTTCAATTTTCCCTGGTATTCGCTTGGTCAACTGAGATGGACTTCACCTTTTGGTTCATTTGCTTCAACATTTAATGATGACTTACTTACTAAAGGAACAGTGTATTGTTACAAACTAGATGCAGAATTGGACTGGGAAGGCTTTTCCTTTAACGTGCTCAATTCATCAGGGCCATCACTGCAGCATGAAATTTTTCACCTACTACGGAGAATTTGGAAGATTTAAGATGCCCCTAAAAGTCTCCTTATTTAGGCGGCACTTTCTGGGTTTAACCTATAGAAGACGAACAACGTTTGGTGGCCTTTACATATCACAAAACTGTTGGCTCGTACAGTACTCTTGTCTCTTGCAGAAAAATAGGAAAATATGTTTATGAATATAGATCACTGTCAAATGGATAATTTCCGGTGGGGCTACTAGTTGCTTCAGTGCACAAGGAACAAGATAATTATCACGAACGAGATCAGCATACCTCTTGGCTCTTTTTGGTTTTTAATAAAGCCGTTGTTTCAGCCAACATCGTGGCGTAGTATTTTAGTCGGCGGACTTGGCTATTAGGGCAAAATTTTGGGAACCATATCCATGCTGGCGTAAACACCCGAGTGTAGCTACCTGTACCGAGTTTGATACAAGCCGTGAAGCAAGGTCACGTGCATACAGCAGGATTATCCCATTTTGCTACGACCACGTGCGCTGAGGAAATTTTCATCCCTGCTCAACACCGGCTGGGTGACCATTTAATCTGTTCCAAGCGTTCCTTCGATATCACTGCCGTGTGAGTTCTACATCAGTTCACTCCTGATGGCGGAACATTATTTTATTTTTACATTTTGAACTAGAGCTTTCGCTTTAGTGATATGATTCTTTGATTTGAAGATACTTTTATCCTAAATACTTGTCTTTTTACAGTTTACAATTCAGGTACAACAAGAAACATCAGGCAATGAACTTAAGAGTAATATGCTCCATCAGTTTTCGGCAATTTAGCAGCACCCTAATCAGAGGCCTAAGGTTCTTCAACGCAATTATATCACTAAGTATGCACCCGGCACGGTGTTCCTTCGTTTCGAGAAACGTATCTAGGATATTCATCACTCAAGTGGTAAATTTTATACACGTGCTGTCTTCAGTAATCCGTGTCAAAGAGACAGTAGCGATCATCAGATGATTTGATTAGATACTTGACCGGTTTTACCCGCAAAAGAATTAGAGGCTAGATGCTTTGAATAAGAGGCGATAAGAAAATCGAGTTTGTTATATGGACAGTTTGTGATAAATGACCAGAAGTGTTAGCTCTGTTGCCGGAGTATGTGGCTGAAACTCGAGGTTACGAGGTATTCCGCGGAAATGCTGGACTTTGGGTAGTGTGATATTTTTACACTGGATTGAGGTGACTGGGCTGTCTGCTGCGTAGCTGTCAACAGATTCTTGTGATGTTGACAGGCAAGATTTTTTCAGTGCTTTAAAATAAGCGGTCCATTCTTAGATAACATGATCTAGAAAATCCAGAACCAGATGCTTTTTTACACCACATGCGGAAGCAAATATTGGGGTAGGATCAACTTTCTGGCCCACCAGGACACTTACTGTACTTCAGACGAACGGAGTGGTGGAAGGCGTGTTTGATTTTTCGAAGGATTGGTACCTTGACAGCTATCATCCATCGGGACGTCAACGTCAGCAGATATGGGACCGCTCTCCTGAGAAGGACACGCCATGTGGTAATACTAAAGTATGATAGGAGTTGACAAAATATTCGACACCTGGGTAATCAAGAAACATTTGACGCTAACGCTGGTTGCTATATCGCTATGTGTGGGCATGTCAGTGTTCACCCACCGATCTCATTTCGAGGGATCAATGTCAAATCCATATAGATAGACTGATTTGGGTAGCGATATTTGCGCGGCACATACTTTATGGCTTAAGCCATTTCATAACCACGCAGCTTTCACTAGAAAGACATAAATGACGCAAATGTAAACGCACAATCCGACAATACGGAGGGGGGCGAAAAATCTGCAAAGTCGATTGTGAGGACGAAAATGAACAAAAATTTACATTCAGGTCCTTTTGAACACGCACGCTGAATTCCTGTCCGGAACGCTCGCGGAAAATGTAGGTTGATCGTACTGGCCAGTATAAAAGATAAGTTCCCTCCAATCAGGTGACGGAAGTGGATGGAATGGGGACAATTCACTGGATGTTCTTCCGCCTTGTCTGGACAATAGTTTAATGCGTTTCACATCTGAGGTCGGTCCTCCGAAATGAGACGTAGACCAAACCGCTGGTGAACGAGTAAATTCAATTTGAGGGTACAAACACTGCCTGAATCGTTTTGATATTTTAAAACTTGCTTGCTTGTAACAATGCTTTTAACTGTCCAGTATGGTAATTTGAATTCATTGCATTATTCAGACATAGCCTGTTGCAGTCTCGTGAGAAAACTCGTTTCATTCTCGCCCCTGCCTGTACATCAGTTGGGGTATCGTTTTTTGTTTAATTTTACATAAATACTTATCGAAAATCGGGGCACAGTTTAATGTCACTATTTCGTGACTCGACACAGAGTCTAATACAAAGTGAATGATGACAATGCGGATCATTTTCTCCAAATGAAAGATGTTTGATACTTTCACTTTGTTCAGAATTTGATGCGTGTGAGAATGAACATACATTTAACTTGACATCACTTGCCTCTTCTGTCATCCCTCTAATCCATGTATCTTATCTACGTCAGTTTGCTCAAATTAAGCATGTGCGCCTGGCCGTATTGTTCGGGTCACTTACGACAGTTCGTGACCTGACTCGCTGTGAACTTACTTTCTAAATAGATTTTAACTGAGTTGGGAGTTTCGTCTTTGAAACTTGTTCTTTTTCATTAAATCACGCATCCGAATTCGAGAGAAATGCAAAAAAACATAACCAGTGTTTTTCGATCTGAGAATATCGGAAAGTGGTCTGCCTTCACCCGATTTGTGGATAAGTACATATCCAGAGAAAGACATGTGGTTAATGGGGAATTTCGAAATTTCCTAACTGCAGTTGGATGAACGCACATTTTGTACGAGAGAGGTGGCATTTTACAGGGACCCCACACCACCCCATTCACAAAAAGCTTACGTTTCAATTTATATTAACGTGTCCCGGTCATTTTAACCTGCTGCTTATGAATTACTTATGAGGCTTCAACCATTTCGTCTGTTGGTCTATTTTGAAGTTACTGGATTCTCTTTCAAGACGTTTTGGTCTTGCAAGAAGATCTTCGTGACGATTGTCTGAAAATGCCCATCAATAACTAAACTGAAATTTATTCTTAAGGACTTCGCTCTCATATGAATTCCTGTTTAGTGGTTAAAAAACTTCAAAGGAGGCAGCTAATGTTCATTTGGGCATCAATTGCCCAGGAAAATACTGTGAACTAATTGGTTGAAAAATGTTGCTCCAGCAAAATGGAGACAGGTTTTCTTAAAGCCTCATAAATAAGGGTTCAGTAATCACACGAGTCACTTTGGGAAGAGAACTATGCGTAAGATTGTCTTGTTCCACGAGAGATGGGACACGAAACGGGACTCCAATAAACAGATATTTTTGGGCATTTTTTGTAATAAGCCGAGCTGAGAACACGAATTCAGCTTAGTATTTTATTTGCCGACACTAACTCTTTGAAGTCAGGTCATCCACAATAAATGAAAATATATCCAATGTCTTGTCCTGCTAAATAGCAACGAATTTATTGTATTCTGATTCTGCAAGTTTACTCTCATCTACAGTTCACCTCTCGGATTTTTCTCTTTTCCGTTTTCGGCATGCAGGATCTCTTTTAGCTAATTGGTTTGATGGAAGTTTAAATATGGTCATCATCACGGGCTCAAGAAAACAAGTTTACTGAACCTCAAACCATAAGAGTATTCCGAGGTCAAAGCTTCTCTCTGTTTTTTGCATTACGTTCACAACTTGAGAATTTATTTCGATATCGTTTCAGGCATCGAACCGATTGACAGGTAAGTAGAAGTAGTGGGAGTAGTGCGACATAACAGATGGGACAGAAAGCGGAAAACCGAATGACATGTCTGGACAGTGGTTCGTTAACTGCTACTGATGGGTTTAAATGTAAGTGTTAATTCCACATGCTCGCGAAGCATAATAATTGCCCCTTAACTAATCGATTTCAGTTGGTAAAAAGTAAAAACAGACACTTTCTTGACTAGCTTAATTGGCATCTGACGGGAACACTAAAAAAAATAGAATATCATTGACTTGGAACGTAGAAAAAAGGTACGTGATTTGCCAGGCGTTTAAACATTTGTTTGTTACGCTTGAATCATCGTACTTAGTGTTACGGTTACTGGTAGGTAATCTTACGGTATTTTTGGAGCACACAAGGTAAATATCCCCCAGTGTACCTAAAAGAGACAAACATGGATTCATTCAAAGGATTACGGGTGCCTCTCTGCTCATAGTATATGTGAGCGTCAAAACTGTTTCAAATTTTCAGGAGGTTTATCATTTACCATTTTCAACGTTGGAGCAATACGTTGGGATGCCAGGGGTGTTATGGAAAGTTTACACAACTGGTTTGTGATACAGTAAACCAGTTTACTCGTTTCTGGTGCCAACATTCAAATAATAGTATTCAATATACGAGATCAATAACTGAAATGCACACGTCGTGAATCTTCGTAGTGCTTTCTTCTACGAATGTGGCATGTAGTTCAATTTAGTGGAATGTCTTGTACTACTGCCTGCTAAGAATAACCAAATAACCACCAGAAGAGTGATTACTGCCATTCGGAAGACAATGAACTTGTAAAGTCTGTGGTACTTGTGAATATATTCTCAGCAATATGAACCCGGAATTATCCTATCCCATCACCTATGCATTGGCACACAAACAAGATAAAACCACCCTTGTCTGGTTGTTGATTGTTCAAAAATGTTCGGCGTGGAGCGTATTGCATTGTTATGTTTGTCCCATATCTTACACACCCTGGCGAATGAACAGTTAAACGTGGCATCAATTACTGGATGAAAACCCATGACCTCTCAAAGGTCATGAAGAAGAAGCTGTAAATTTGTTGTACGACACCATCAAATGTACCTTCAACGTCTTAAGAAAGTGAAGCCCTGCTTGATATATTTTACCACGATTTCTGGTGATCTCATCCAGGTGCAGCTTGTCTTCTTTGAGGATATTGATGAAAGGTGACTCAGACGGCTACATCAGTGAAGCAACAACCCACCAGCGATCGCTCTCTGAAACTGTTTAAACCTCGAACAGCATGACTATACCAATGCACCACATTAAATTAAACAGTCGTAAACCTGTGAAATAGGCCTCCAGTGACTGTTAAAGATGCAATCACAAAGGAAAAATTCAAGAGGTCTACTGGTCAGTCTTCCACAAAGAATTTGAACACACAGTGGTTGCGGTTGTGCGGAACTCTCTAAATACCGTAGCGGTTAGTTTGTCCCGAGATGCTGTACGCTGGAGCTAACGAGCCTTTTGCTTACAAACCGGCAGACCATTTGACCAGTTGAATTGTATAGGTACTGTCTAAGGATAAATAGCCTTATTATTCCTACAGATCTACGGAGCATACATCATCAGACAACAGAATTGTAGCAGAAACGAGGGAAATGCATCACCAGAACTGCACACAAATGTGTTCAACAGGAACAGAAAATGTGGTGAGGACAAGATTCCACTTTGTCCGATTCGCTTTTTGCATAGTGGATGGTGGACTCACCACAAATAGACCCCAAAATAGCCCACTGAAATAATTTTTTCAACTTTCACACCTGCTTGACTGCGCTTCAAAAAGTCAACTGGTTGTTGATACACTAAGAGCCTTCACCAGAGAATATTAGCCCAGTCCATACCGATTGGAACAGATTATTTCAATCAGTACTTTGCACATTTCTAACTGCAACACACTTGTGAGTCAAGGTCATGAGACTATTTACATGGTCAGCAAATCACACATCTTGGCCAGTCCCTATAGAGCAAATCCACTCTCCTTAAAGCAAACAGAACGGGTGGTTAGTTGCCCCACAGTTTTTTAACCCATCTCGACTAGCCTCATCACTTCCACTCTGTATCGCTTCCGTATGAAACGTTTCCACAGCAGACACGGTTTTCCTAAACTATCGACCGAATGTCAGTTGTACTTGTGAAATCAAATGTAGGCCGTCAGATCGTATAATGCATTCAACAAACATAAAAACACCCAGTTGTTTAAGGTGAGGCATTCAGTTTCAAGACTAAGTGTACAGGAGCGCAACAGAAAGTCTAAATGTGATCTTTTAATAGATTCTAGAAGAAATATGCAACAAAATGAGTATGTGGCTTTACTTGCTCATATCTACTTGAGGGATCGCACGTTCACTGGAACTGAAACTTTCAGACACCTACCCACAGTGGGAAACACCGGAACAGCGCAAGCCTTAGTTCATCAAGGAGCGAACTAAAAAGACAGCCTCAGACAATCGCGGTGTTTTACGTCCTGTATCTGGACTACGGTTCGATACGATGAAGCTCTTACTAGTTAATAGATAATTGCACTGATCAAGCTGGGCCGGAAAAAACTAAGGCGTTTCAAGTTTTAAGGTGGAAGTCTATTTCAAATAGCCTTTCTCCTTGATAACAGCTGATAAATTTGTCATATTTCCAACACATGTACAAACACGTTCGCAAAGCCTTATAGGAGGCTGAGTTCGTGTATTTTTAATAATTACTTTGCTGATGTTCGCAAATGCACCGAAATTATCACATGATATCATCTACTGCACATTTTAGCGGAAAATTCGGAGAAGTCAAACGGTGCGAAGAAATCCGAACCGGAAGTGCATTTGCGGCAAAGTTTGTACCGATTGCCCATAAAGATGACTGGGAAAGTGTTCAAAACGAAGTGGCGATTATGAACAAACTGCGGCATCCACGCCTTATACAGCTGTATGACGCCTATGCAGTTAAATCCGAGGTTGTGTTGGTTCTAGAATTGTAAGTTTTTCTCGTGTTTCAAGAACGTTTTTATGGTTCACAGGTAGTGTATGGAGTAAAACAATACATCCAAGGCTGAATCTGCAACAACCGCCACAATAACAATAAACCGTGCTTAATCTAATGTGTATTACCATTTTTACGACAGCTTAGTCAGCACGAGTAAAATACACCTATTTACATATTAAAACAATGAATTGAAGTTGACCAAGCTCACTGGTAAACATGGTCGTGTTCATCGATTCTTATACCAACGCGTGACTCCAAAGCGAATCAACCATACAAAGGAGCGAAAAAAATCGCTTTTGTAACCTGACCGACTAACAAGCCCGATACATCACAAAAGTTCAGCATTCTATATGCCTACACAAGCACCTAAACCAAACATATTAGGAAAGTCTACACGTCAAGTGCTCACCGGATGACACGTCTAATCAGTCCGTTTTTTACACTGAAGAAGTAAGTTCGGTCGCGACCACGAAACCCCGAAGAGAACAAGTTTTGTTTATGTGCTATACTACGTTGAATCTAAGTATTCTGTAACTTTATTCAGAGAGTCTTCCATGAGACAATGAAGAAAACTGTGCACGTTGTAATAGAAAGCACTACCGCAGCACGACAACGTATAATAAAATATACCGAGTATGGCTCTTGGCTATGGATTTCTATTATTTCCATGACAAATTATTTTTGGCAGCTGCTGAATGGTGCGGCGTGTAGTCACAGGCTGTGTTCAGTTTGAAATTGATCGGGTAAGCGTGGTCACGCTGCACAACAAATGATGGGCAACCAGATGGGGTTGGGAGCTTATTTTATCCCACAAGTGCCAATACCAATCGTTCAGCAAGCGCTCACACGGGTTGTATTGTTTTCACAAGTAATAGCATTTGTGCACAGAAATAATGAAGCAGTTTGGAAAATGGGCATTGATAGCGCCAAATAAAAATAAATACTGGAGGCTACTGAGCGAACAGGTATGAGGCATATCATGAAAATATTGAGAAAAAGTGAAGTAACAAAACATATAATAAGATGGAAACGTTGATATCATGAACAACATTTATATTCTTCCATTTTGTGACTACATTAATGTTGCGGTTAAAAACGGAGATCTAAATTAAGATACAGGAACATTTCGAAAATCTAACTAGCATTATTTGCATAACCAAATCTTTAGAAACACCTTGTGCCACAATTACGGTCACTGCGATTTTGTTGTTAATACTCTCCGAAAACTAAAAGCTCTGACGAATGTACAACAAACTTTTGTACTACATTTCAGCTTCATCAATGTCTGGGGGCGCAAATATTAAAGGTAGTCGGAAGGTGTCTCTGCATTGTTTTTCCCCACACTGGCAAGTAATTGCATAAAATGGCGTTTCCTCAAGAACAAATCACATTTACCTGAATAAATATCCGAACAGAAATGGAGAAGAGTACAATAGCTTTCAGAAACTATGCTTGTCAACGACTGCTCCTCCTAGGCGTACATCGCCTGTCTAAACATCGGCCCGATGGGAGTGGCCCCATCCTAGTTTCCTGGTATTACGTAGCACCTCAGGTGATTGACCTCACAAAATCTTGAAAAGAAACCACGCTAGTGAAAAGGAGAATTTCTTGCGATTTCGCATAAATTCTTTGCGGTAGCATTCCTCTTTCGAAGAAAAATTCGATGTGCTCAAAGATCGACTTATGCATAGTGATCCGTCAAAAGGGGTATCGATTGGTTGACGTAGACCCTCCGATTTGTTTTTGAAAATAGAAGACCTTGACGCAAATCCGAATATCCTGGTTTTGTCTGTGACTTTGTGATCCTACTTCCCTTTATAGCTGAAGATTAGTATATTGAGCCCATGGAGGCAGAAAGCTATAATTTCCTAGACGAATGCCATCCGTGAGTGCTTAGCTGCCATCCACAGGAATTGATCACTCTGTTCCGGCAGCCCTAGATAGTAACTCGAAGAAATTCCTCGAACAGCTTGTTCATTTTTGGCCGGAAATATTCTCAAAAATAAACTAGGGCACTGGACTGGGCCTCAAACACGTACAGCTCAACAGATGCATTAATTCAGCCGAAAGTGCGTAGAATATCACGTGGAACTGGTTGTGCCCAACGGCATTTCTTAAGCAAAACTGTCATTCAAATCCTCTTGGCATTCATGGCGTAACGGAACACCGATGTGTCAATCATTTGGCCCCTTTCTACTATTTTAGCTTGTGCTAAAAACGCAATAACGGTGGACTTACGATTTCTAAATTTAGACAATATTTAGACAGCATTTCCATCTTTAAAAAGGTGGAAAATTTTAATACACGTTATTTGCGTCTTTTACTTATGCAAAACCAGTTCGAACGTTTTCTTCCAACGGATAAATTTTGACGAAGAACCTGCCTCAGTAATTTACCAACCCAATCCGACCTCAACTGGTGCACTTCCTCTGGACAAAAAGTAAAGTGGCTCTATAAACCATCCTAAAACACGACACGCATTCCCATCCACTCTACCCTAGTAATTTTACATTTCGTCAATCATATATCTTTTTGAGATCGTTTTCATCACCTCAGTGACGTCACGCGGGGTTTATACGACAAATTTCTTCACAAGACATCTGATTCAGTAGTAAAATCACCAGGGATGATAGCTAATTCTTGGCCTTCATTCAGTTAGCCTAGGTTGCTTGAACATGTATAAAACAGGAAAACGTGAAAACATACCCTACACCTGTTTAATCTGAGTGAAATTTGTCCTTTAATTTTTTTACAATTCCTTGGAATTATCGGAGGTTTTAATGAGCTTCTCAACTTTTATTTTTAATCATCTTGCAGAAAATTCTGTGTTTGAAGTCCTCTGACTCTTCATGTTTAGTTTATTTTCTATTTTCCACTTTAAGTCGAGTAGCGCTCTTAATATTGTATTAGAAAACGGCGTCCGGAGAAAAACCAGACAAGGAGAATTTATTTCCCACTTGAACTGTCCGGTCGATCAGCCAGTCTAGAACGCCGACCGTATAAAGCATCTCAAGTTTTTCCCAACAGTCATTTTCATCCTTCGTTTACCCCCGGTCATTGCACAGCTTTCGTACTTTGAGAGTTTTGCTTGCATTATCATGCGTGTTGTTTATTTGTTCTCTCTAAATTCATGCACACTAATCGATAACCTTTCACAGAAGTGCTACATCCCTGGATTCCATTGCTACGGACCCCGTCATTTCTGCTTAGCTCATAAGAAGTAGGAGTCATGAAACCTTCTTTACTTTATAATTCTTCGGTTCGAGGTCCTGACATAATTTTCCAATGAAGCTTTCTTTTGGCAATGAATTGGTCCTTTTCTCATATACTAGGGGACATAATTAACCAGCTGGCATGCTTGGGTTCTGGGTTCAGGTCAAAGATTAGTTTGCTGGATCAGTTACTGGAGGTCTTTAGAGTGAAATCCTCACCAATGGCCATAATAAAATCTTGGGACACTCGGAAAAAGTTTTCCATATCAAAGTCCCTAAGTCCTTTATCCGCCTAGTTGGTCAGGACCTCTCTGCTTTTTTCCAGTAATACTTATCTACCCACCAATTTGTACTACTCGTTTTATATCTAAATAGTATCTGACATATCTGCTCTTGTAGCCGTTTCTCATAATGGCGTCTGATTTGAAATTCCGCAAAAATGTCACAATGCTTAGAATAAAATCTAAACTCACCAACCGGATGTCAACCACTCCTCACGGTTGTAAAAGAATACTTATCTGAATCGTACTGTCGATAGTTATTCGTACCTGACTGCTTCCAGGCATGCTCTTGTAAGGCTGGTTAGAAAGTTTTCTTCCCCACGTTGCACCTGCCACGTCTTGGTCAGATTGTTTTTGTTTATCCTCCACTGTCCATTCTAGGGGTTATGACGTCTCTAACTGTCACGAAGACCTCGAAAGAAAACGTCCAGAGTACTGCAAAATTGATGCGCTCCAAGTGTAGACCCAACTAGGACAGCGAATGAAACTTACACTTTTCGAGGACAATTTCGTTTTCTTCCTAATCTCATTGGCTTTTTAGTGCAATGAGCATAGTTCATATGTCAGTAACCAATGTGAGACAGAAAATGAGGATAGTCATATGATGCTTTTGCACATCGTTTGAAAATTTGGATCCTGACATTTGGCCCGCCGATACATTTTGCACTTTTTCACCAGTGTCTTGATTAGGATAGCAATAGTAAACCGGCTACTGCGGGTCCGCAGTGAAATAGCGCCCAAACGGATACTTGGTGGTTAATCTGATTTGTTGGAGCGGTAGGTTAGGCTTAACAAACTAAAGAAGTTGGGGCACGTACTACGCACGCCCAACCACCATCTTCCGAGGAAAGAGTTGTTTTCTGTCCCAAAAGACTGTTGACTAAAAGTTAGCCGGGAACAGGCCAGAAGATGGCGACGCGAGACGAAAGCGGCTACTGGTACACTGATAGCTGTGAGATTTTTAAGCTTTCCTGGTAAGGTCAGTGTGATTCTGTTTGCATATGGTTAAACACACCGGATGAAAAAGAAAATCTACAGAGCTTAGTCTGTCTCAGGAGCATGGCCTCTCATTTACCATCGAGACTGTCTAGCTGAAATTCGCCCGAGTTTAGGACGGCTTAATTTAGCGAAGGACCCTGACTTTATTCCGCTGGGGATACCTTGATCTACCATTTACTCTATAACGTACAAAGATATAGGTACTTTATTCTTGGTCGATTTTCTTAAGAACCTAAGGCCTCGTTGCACTTAGTCCCCGACGCATCTCTTTTTTCCTTACTTTACTAAAGCTTTCTAGCCCCATGGTTGTATGGCAGTCAACCACGGGCTGTATTACGAGTGCATTGCTCTTAGTGATGATGACATGATGCATATATGCAAATAGACTTATCTGGTACATCCAGGGCATCAGGCAATACTTCATTCCTCTGGGCTATTTCGTAAGGTATGTAATCAGGAAATTTCCAGTCAGTGCAGATTCAAGGTGATCACAATATTTATTTATCACATATTTTTTCAGTAAAAAATTACAGTGATTTCACAACTGTATGAGAAAATGCTTAGACCGTTCAGCTCACAGGTTGCTCCATCAAGAAACAGCGACCAAGCGCAAGCAAAATGGCAGAAATCACTTGGGTCGGAAACATTCTAATACTAATAACAATATTGGAAACCTAAATCGTAATGGTTATTCCAGTTTTCTGACCGGGTTGTCCTAGGGGAGGACGGACGAGTGCCTGATGAAGAAATACATTGTGCGATCTTTCTCACACAAGAACTATGGATTCTTACCCACATGGTAGAAACGAACAAACAAAACAGTCGTCCAGTTATGACGTGGGTGGAAATAAGGTTTCCAGTTGTCCACCATGTTTTTCACTAACAATACCGAATTTCACCTATCTACTGCAAGATCCTGTTGACGAGGGATAGGAAAATAGTCGAAACGAATGAAGTTTGACGTAAGAACATTCATGATGGCTAACACGTGAGCTTTGTGTGAACGAATATCAGAAGCAAATATATCCAACATTCTTTTGCTAACTTTTCCGTTTCAAGAAAAGGAACTTGGGTGCATCTTGACTTGACTTTCGTAGTCAAGCTACTTGATAAAGAACTCACCTCATACATATTAATTTTCCACTGCCCTGTGTTGTTACTTATAGATGAAGTAATCTGAACCTACTCCTCTACGCCACAGACCGATCGTGGACGTCTAATCTAATTAGTATTAATCACTCTAGATGTCAGGTGATTACCCTGACTTCAGCGTGAAAAAATGCCCCACCGTTGCCACTCGACGTCATTTTGTACGCTTCAATGCAAACAAAAACTACGCTGCAAATAACAACGATGAAAAGTTTCGGACGAACATGACAAGCGCACACTGGCATTCGATGAGGGGAAGATAAGACAAGATGAAGCACAGCTGACACGCAAACGGTTGTCCATATCCAGCCGTATAGATAAAAGAACTTATACACAAAAGCATCACATGTGCGTCTGTATGTCTCGGCAACATTCAAACAACTGTGGAAGTGCAAAACTTAATGAAACGCCATTTGGTGGCAGTAGAATAAACTCTTTTGAATTAACACTTCACGGGTAATGAGACGAATTCTTGTGCACTTCTCAAAGTTGCCTCCAGTGTCCCTCTAAAATCGGCGCTGAGATCTCCGTCGGAATGTAAGACCACCGCGAATAATTTCATGTGCTTTGTAATACATCCGTTAATAAAAGTCAGTTCACCTCTTTGCGAGATTCCACCATATTCGAATTCACAGTGCAAGACAGTTGTTAAAAAATGATTGAAACTTTTGTTGGGTTATCAGTGCGTTAAAACTTACCTGAAAATTCAGCCACTTGACAGTAATCATCTGATTCATAGTGTCCTTATGATAAACACTTCAATATTCGATTCTCATAGTCATGATGATTGTCAAACAGTTGCCAGTATCACGGGCGTGGTCTAAAGCAGTTAAGTTTCCCGACATAATGCTTTAAGAGCTCAACCAAATAATCGTTTGTGTTACTACTCACCTTTAGTGCTCGTGAAAACCACTAAACTATGACAACTTCATACCAAAGTGACAAGCATAGTAGACCACTTTATCAAAACTAGCCTTATTCAACAAAATTCAGTTCTGGGACTGATTATCTCAGATGTCAAGGACCATGCTTACCTGACAAACCCGAAAGAGGACAAAACTGGTTTCTGCGGGATTTGAGCATTCCTCCCATAATACCTATTTTAGAACCTCATTTTGACCTCATTTTTATTGAAGTAAATATTCGTGGTCGGGATGAACTGCACTATACTCCATTAGCCTAATATCGTGTATTTATCCAAAGTCTAACATACGTGGACGCAGTATAACGGCAGCTGAAGTTTTTCGGTTCACAGGCGCGACCTGATAGCTCGGACGCTACTGATTATTAAGCAGATATATAAGATAATCAGTCCAGAAAGTCACGGGCTAAGAATCTAAAAGGTCGAGCTAAAAGTTCATCTGAGCGTCAGCCATTCATAAAGTGAGCCAAAATCCATCGAAAACATCGCTTAACCATATTTAGAAGGCATCTCCTATCAAAATTATGTAGATATAATCAGTTACATTACTGACCAACTTGAACACGCGCACCAAGCACTGCTCCGCTCTGTTACTCAACGACGCACTGACGATTGCACTTGGAATGGCGATAACACGTTTCCGACAAAACTGCCAACTGGGCGAACAATGCGTCAAGTCTGTCAGGCTAATTTTCTGTCACATGTTGTGGAACATAATATATTCGATCTATGCGTACTCTTTGTGTTTCCTGCACTGTGTCTTCAAATAGCAGTGGTTGCTGGACTTGAACACATTTAACACTAAGATCAAATACAATAAAAGGTGGCCAGTTTCACTAATGCCCTTGATCGCAAATGAAACGGCAAATACATGCAAGGCAAAATCAACTTTTACTAGCGTTAGTAGCTATACGTTAAAGTTTCACTTCTTCCGAGTAGCAGTCTTTTTAATGCAGTATTTAGTTGGGGATACACTAAAATTAAATTTCACAAAGAACATCCAAAACACTAGGTGAACAATCCGAACCCCGGTGCAAGGTAGATCACCAGCATCCAATCACTAATTATGCTGTCTGCTTCAAATCGCCCAACCCGTGAACTTTTAGTTACCCTGTTTATGGATTCATCCATGCGGTATCACATCCTTGGCTGCTTGTCACTTATGCAAGGTGGGGCCGTGGTTTTTCTCCACAAAACAATTATCCACTATTTGTTTTAGTCGAGGTTAAAAGTTTTCTAGTTTGTGCCTTACGTGCAAATTCTTTGAAATATCTATATTAAATACTTTAGAGGAATCAACGACTCATTGTTTCCAGACAATATTCGGGAGATAAATTCTAGGTAATGCAAAGTTGTTTTGTGGGTTGGATAACCAAGAGAAACTGGAACTCAACAAATTACGAATCTACCCTGAAACCCGTGCTAACGCACCTGTACCATGTTTGGAAGTTTGATGATATATTGTTTGACAATGAGAACAATCCTCCTCAATGACAATTACTGTCTGTTGGTCACACTGAATTCCAGGGGTAATTCTTGTTGTGGGAATTAAAACACAGTAAACTTTTCCACTGTATGAAACAAACTCTTCTAAGAAGATTATTGTATAGTAAAAGGTTTTCAACTATCCCGAAACATCCTACTATTTAAGGGTTGCATTCCTCTCAAAGTAAACAATCTCGCTATTCACGGGGGTGTTTCTCGAGGTTTTTTATATCGCCGTCGTGATTAGTGAATGAATTTTGCGACCATAAGATGCTGAACAATAAAAATAGATGGATGGGCAATCGGTAGAGACGATAGAGCGTGTTTATTTCCCTGCGGATATGAGATCAGCTATCCTGATTGTATTGTTCAGTTTAGAAGAACACCGCTTCGTGTGCACATAATCGCACATGACACCATCCATGTGCAATTGCGTTTGCTGAGATGAATCGGTGGCCCTTATTTCCCCTGAGCATATAACTGAATCAGGATGGTCGAAGCCGGTTCATTTCCAAAGTACTTGTGCAGTGGCCAAAATGTCTTTTGGGCAAGATGTTCGAACTCATGCAACCACTGACAATTTCGCTAGTTTTAGTTTGTAGGATCGATCCTACGTTTGATTGCCAGAGAGAGGCATTCAATAATATCTTCGTGATTGAGGTTTGCCCCATTGCAGCTACACCTGTAAGCAATATCTGACTACGTTTGTCACGCGCTCAATCATGAAAACTGATAGTAAACTAAGGTATTCACTCACAGGATCACTGCGCATCTACATATCGTAAATGTGAACAGTGTCCTGAAAAAACAACGCAACAGTAGTTCAATGTTGTAACAAACTTCATATTCCTGCGCTTGAGGAGCCCGATGGATGTTCAAAGGGTGTTATTCATACACCAAAATTGTAAGTGACAGTCAGTAATATATTAAGCCGCCATGATGAGAGTTATTTTGAGCCTCTCCTAAACGAAGTGCTCCACTTTCGGAAGAGTCGCATGGACATGTGTTTAGCAACATTATGTGCTCTGCAGGTAGACATGAATTTTTTTCGAATGGATTAAATTTTATTAAGTTACCAGTCTTTGTGTAACATGCGTTGTGTTTACAAGCAAACAATAGTGGACAAAGGTGTAAATTTTGTGCAACCAATGAAGTTCAACATATGGAAAACACCGGTATTAAGTTTTCGGTTATAATTCATTTCTCAAATATTACGCATGCTGAATTCAACACTGCAAACAACACAGCCATAGAAATGGGCTCAACTTGACCTAGTTGCACTTTCTGACTTTTATTAGTTGACCTAAACAAGGACATACAACACCATCTCCCGTTGATGGATTCGGTTACCTTGTCAATGATTCTTTGGGACTGCAGGGAACCACCTGGATATTTTTATGCGTTCACCCGAGATTTCGCCCTGTAAACGAACCCAATTGATACTGAAAACCAAAGGCTATACAGTTGTCCCGTCCGTGTTGGAGATCATCAGCAATGCGTATTTCACAAAAATTCGGAAATTATGGAACCTGCTAGTTTATTGTCAGTGTTTGGATACCTGATCATTTTGCCACGAGCAGTTGATCAGCGGCCCAGAGGAAGAATAATCCCAAGAGATGAGTGAAACTTCCTTCTGAGAATTCATTACTTGAGAAACCAGTAAACACGCAAATGAAGGATGAATGGTGCCATACCCTGTCCAAATGTGAGCTTATTACTGGTACTAAACCGCCCGTGACCAAACGGCTAGGTATTCGAACACTGACCAGAAGATTGAAGGTTCAAAACTCCGAATTTTCGTGAGACACGCATCGCTGATGATTTCCAACAAGGACGAAACAACTGTACAGTGTTTCTCGACTTTTTTTTTGTATAAACTGGCTTCACTTACAGCGAGGAAGGTCAGTTGAAAATTACAGTCTCATCACAACGCCATTTTCCACTTTTAGACCATCTATTGTCAGCGAATCCATTGAGGCCAGACCATAATTCAACGAATAAGGTTTGATCACAGTTCTCCAGCTGGAATGCTCTTTCGGCACCTAGCTGCCAAGTATCCTTAAGGAATTTAGAAGGCCGAGATATTTGCAGGTTGCTCAATCCCCGACAGGAATAGTCGAGATGATGGCGTTAGATTCGAACCAAGGGTATTCTGGTCAGTAATTTTGTGCCTCAAACACTGAGCTGCCTTCATACCATAACTTAATTTTATTTTGCCTCATCACGCTCCATTTCTGGCATCTTACCTTATTCCTCATTCATGGTGCCGGATTTCGCCAATAAATAAGACTTTCTGACCTCGTAATTTGGATAAGGTTGTAAAAGCCAAAATTTACAAGAGTGAAGTCATCAATGTTTTTTTCATCCTTCGTCAAATTTTGAGTAAATACCTAATGAGGCACGACAGATCAACTTCAGGACATAAGGTCACATTTTGATATTGTGCTTGCTTCTCAAGAATGTAACGACAGGAGTTTGCTTCGATCGTATTTTTCCTATAAACAAGGATAGAAAATAAGGAAAGAAGGAGTATCTTCATCATACTATATTTATCAGTGCTCTTCTCAATTCAGAATAACCGGCGGTGAACTTTTCGAGCGCATAATTGACGAAGATTTTGATCTTAACGAGACTCGGTGTATACGATTCATGAACGAAATCCTCCAGGGCGTGGAATATATTCACAATCAGGGAGTCTTACATTTGGACTTAAAGGTAAGTCGTTCCTTATGATGAAATGGAGGTTGCTACCTATTGTTATGTGCTGACAGCCAAATAATCAATTTAGACCCACACCTGGTAGGGTTTCTTGGCGTTAAAGTATATCATATTTCGGTCTACAATCAGTTGTCAGCTGTCCATGCGTGTGAATGTTATTTATCGGGAATTAGGCTGACACTGGTGTTCTTATTATATTCCCATGATATTCGGTAGAACAACAAAATTCAAGATATCCCATACTCGGTAAGAGTGAGTACTGACATGGCGTTTGACACTACACATTGTGTTGAACCGATTTTCGTGTCATGGGAAAAACATTATAGAGTTATGGGTCTTATAGGCACATTCCGACCCCGTAAGTTATAACCAACACTCTCAATGGAACATGCCTGTCAGTACTTTTCGTCGGCCGATAAAGATAATTAAACTCATGTGTGAGGACCTTGAATACCTGAGGTAACATCTGGTCAAATATTTACCTCAGCTCGTTGGTTCGGATGCCTTGTGGTTTCACACAGCTGTGTGCCATTGGAAGGTGCACAACTATCCACTTTAGCGTCTGCATATATGATGTAAAAGAACCAGGATGAAGCAGATTGTATCAGCTTTTTTCCTGAACATGTCAAGGTAAAGCTGTTGAAAGTTTTACGAAACTTTCATTTTGGGGTTCCACAGTTAAGTTATTTTGAAGCTACTCCTTGTACTGAGTTTTCAGACATTAAACAAATTACGTGAAAAAAATAGTTGGAAGACCACAAGAAACGTTCCCACACTTGCTTGCAAACAACGACAAACAGTGCGCATATATCCGACGTTCATTCGTTCATCTTACACAATCTAGTTGTGATTCTGTTTATTTATTCAACAAACCATGGTATTCCCTCGACATTAGAGCCTCCTTATCAAAATGATACTAGGCTAGAGCACTTGTTTTGTGTTTATGCTACAATCCATTTACAGGGCATTCCATAAGCTTCGCTTACCTGGTTTCTTGCAGTACACATGCACAGCGTCAGCAAATCCGATATAATCGTGACACAATCACGTAACTTACAACATAAACGAATTCTTCATTACAATACTGCTCATCCTGAGAGTTTCCGGAGCGCGACCAAACATACGGATGATAGCATGCAATCATACTGTATAACTGCATCCCAAATAAAATGGCCCCTTTTATTCCGGTTAGCAAAACCAATTATGACCTTCCTCTGAATACGGAAAAGCCAAGAAGGTTAAATGTTTTAAGCTGCTCATTCAGTTATGCTCAGCCTGCTGATGTGTACACACCTACATTATCTATCTAAACAAAACGGACAGTGTGAGATGCATAGTAAAATAAACCCGTGATACAGTGGACTCCATTATATTTTCTTCTGGTTGATTTAGAGATTTGAATAACTCGGTGAAATACGGATAAACCCGGCATGTGATGGTGATGAAATCCGGTACAGCACTCACACGCTAAATGTGCTTGATCCAGGGCTGTTCCCCAATTCTAGCAGAACATACGCTGACATTGCGTTCATCCGTATTTTTTGTCCATCAGCCAGCTTTATGTCCAAAAGCACCGCAGAGTTTCGAAGAACACCAAACCCTAACAAACAAGCCGACCCACCGCCGTCAACCCAAAGTGATGTTCCCATCGCTGTGTCTACAGAGAAAGTGGATATAAAATAAGAGCGTGTTCTGGCGAGTGGAACACAAGGAAGCCTAATTTAGCAGACAGTCCAGCTGCCAAATGCGCACAGGAGGCACAGGTGTCCGCACAAAGCACCAAATGGACCGCAAGTTGTTTTGACCAGGGAAAGTTACGAATTGTCTAGATGACTTTCGGATGGTTTTTCATCAAAATTTGAGCTTCCGTCCCGAAATCTATCTCCCCAAATAGAGTGATGTATGGACAGAAGGAGAACATTGAAGGCTTTTCAGTGTCGCTAATGCTCGAGTTGTTTTCGACAGAATCGTTAAGTTCGCCATCAGCAAAAGGTTGGGTAAAAGCACTTCGAGATTCTGGCAGGTGGGGTCTGGAACCGTCGTAACTGCTCAGTGGTAGAAGCCAGTACTCATGAACCAATACGAAGGGCATGTATTTACCAACCTCCATCTTCTAACTGTGCTGATTAAGTGCTAAATGTACAGTATTTTCTAAAACCACCAAAAATCATCAAAAAAGAGGGAACTTGGAATTCTCCTTAGCCATCCCTTCAAAAATGCATAAGAGTGTATGCTACGAGGTGCACGGATTTCGGGGATACTCGTCGGCCGCATAAAAACCACATATGCCATAGATGCAGCGGAAAAAATATTACCACATGGCGCTTGCCATAATGTGATGTTGATTAGAAATTAACATGTAAGATTTTCAATCGATTCAAGTAATCTACTGTAGCTTAATTGCACGCCGTGAAACACAGAAAACTGGCACTTTTAGATATTTCAACTCCAGGGCGCCGAAACCAAACATGTACAACCAAATTTTTACTTCAATTTAGCGAATGGGCATTAACACAAATATGGGTTCGATGGCGTCGAATTGGACAAATTCGTTCGCAAAAAGAGGCCATAAAACCGCGGAATTTTACGCAATCGTTTTATCTCTTCAGAAGCATAATTTTCCGATTGAAAATTAGGCTCATTCGAGTAATGAGCTTGCCGTCTTCTTCATTATGCGTATCTTTTACTTGTAGTAATTTAATAATCCTGTGTGCATCTATATGTGCCCGTATATAACACAGTATTCATTAAAAAAATTATACACCATAACAAACATCTTTTTGGTAGTTATGTTGAGATCCAGTAACTCAGTCATGCACATGGTAAGTAGGTTTAAATCCGTACTTCATCTAAGGTTTTCGGTATCTGTCCATTACCGCGGAATATTCGCGAATAGAGCTGGCGAGAGTGGGCGCTTAACAACTTTCTTACATCGAAATAACTGAGGTGATTTCTTCTCTGGCTGGACTTGAGTGGAATGAGGAAATATGGCGTTTGAAGACAGTTATTCTTCTATGGTGTGAGCGTGTATCCAAGAAGCAAAAAGAACTATGGTGCTTCCTTAGTACAGCACTCGAACGAACGATAGTGGAATCAATCAAATGGTATAACGGGATGCTCAACAACTTCTTGCTACTTTGCACGATACTATGGTTGTTCACTCCATGCGCACAAGAACGGCAGCAATAACATGCGCAAATGCATGTGCCTAACTTTAAAACTTTTGGGAATGATACTATTTTGGTTGCGCGCGTCTGGTTTATCCAGTCTGACTAATCACACATGCGAGAACCACTACTCAGTCTGATCACGGTGACCAGCACATAGTTATAAACAAAACGTATATAT